ACGGTGGCTTGAAGGAGAACAACGATGGTTTGAAGCGTAGCAGCGACTTAAGAGGTTTTTAGGGTTTTAGATTTTGAAGCCCTAAATTCCTCTTCTTCTTCTTCTCCGTAAAAGTTAATTCCTCTCTTGCTCACTGTAATTTTCCCTAATTTCTATTACTGTAACTTCTTTTTCATCCCCCTTTTGTAGATTTAGATTAGGTTTTTTATAGTGATTTTAGAAAATTATAAATTATGAAAGTTAGTAATGTGTCTGTAATATTGATTTTTAGAATTGAATTAGGGTTTTTAGTTTAGGAATTTTTTTTAAATTTTGTCTGCAATTGTATGAACATTTTAATGTGTTTCCGTTCTTGTATCAAGCTGTATTGATTTGTTCTTGGTTCCATTTGAATATAGCATTGTTGTTGTTGTTGATTATGTATTAATTGTTTTTAATCCACACAGTAATTGTTCTTTTGTAAAAACGAGTTTCATTCCCCTTTTGATTTCAACAGTAAGTATTTAACCAATTGGCCCGGGCTTATAACATGTTTGGATCTTTTTTTTGGTGCGACCTGAGCTTCACGTTTTTTATTTGTAACGACATTTTGATGGGCCTGCTGAAATGGACCGTAAAAAAAACTCTTCTTTTCTTTTCTAAATGTTTCTTTAAAATAATAATTTAATTAATTAAAAAACAATTTTAAATAGTAACAAATGATGATGTTACGACAAAAGAGAGAGAAAAAAGGTTTAAAAAAAATTAACATTCTGTTATATATATATAAAAAAAATTCCAAAGCAGACCCAAAAAATAATACCACATTGGACTTTTAATGAGGAGAAAAATTGTTTTATTAAAAAACTTAAATGGGCCTTAAAGCAATTAGCTATTGGGCCACGCGAAAAAATTCTTTATCTCTCAATCAGAGCTTCAAAACAAAAACTGAATGGGTCGTTGCATTAATCTGTTGGGCCCTTAACCCAAAAATGAATATCTCTATGCACCCCTCTCTTCAATATTTAAAAGGACTAAAAGAATTACATGGGCCCTTTCTAGCTTAGAAAGGCCCATGACTTTTCAAAATAATATACTTATAAAATGAATCCTCTCTAGTAAGAAACTTTAATGGACCATCAGATATTGATGGTCCATTTAAGATTAATACACCCCTTTTCCTTGTTTTAAACCCCTATAGAAGTGAAAACTATATAATGCGATTTACTTAAAAGAAACCTTAAATATAAAACAAATGGTAGGGCAAATTTGGGGTATGACAACATGTGACTCGAATGCAACTCAATATAATGCAAGATGCTTGTGATACCAATTGTTATCCATACACGGTTTTTACGTTTAAATCGAGTTCATCTTCAGGACAGATAACCACCAAAAAGCCCATCCTATAAGCTTTCAAATATGTCCTCTAGGTTTGGCACAACTCACTAGGTCTCGCAAAAACTAGCAAACATTTCCTCAAATGATGCATGTGCAATCTCAACAATTATATACAAATAAGACCATCTCTAAATCTTAATCATACAAGCATATATCATATTTCACTACATTTGAATTATCTCACCATTGCAAAAACATACATATCTCACAAGTTATTCACATAGAATTTACTTCCATAATATTTATCAATTCAATACCTCCCAATAGCATATAGCAAGTAATATCACAATGTATTACAATCCAACACCAATCTCCAATACGCATAACACATATACATGTCATTTTACATAACCACACAATGATTATATCACCTACTGCCAACAAAACCATTTTTATTGAAAAGAATATCGCTCTAGCTTTTTAATGCTTCAAACGAGAACTCAATCGGAGTTACGGTTCAAAAGTTATGAATTTAAAAAAAAAATGTTGTCAGCTTCTGAAAATCGATTACCCCAAAATGAGAAATCGATTTCCTCACTTCCAGAGGCCAATTTTCGCCTTTTTCGAACTAGAAATTGATTTCTCAAAAAGGGGCAATCTATTTCCACAGTCCAGAAGCAGTTTTTCAGCTATTTTAAGCACGGAAATCACTTTCTTTCAACCCAATACCCCACATTTGAAATCAAAATCATAATTCTCTATACATCAATTCATACTCACATATCACATGACATTATTATGCATTCTCTAACACCAATTTCATCAACTTGAGTGCATACATAACATCAATTCATCAATTAGTTTCAATTACAAAAGATAAATAATTCATGAACAAACTCACACCAAGATTTTTCATCAGAACCCCAAACAATTTGCAAAACCTAGAAATTGAAAGTATAAATTCCTAATCATGTTTGTTATCCATTACATACATCACATACTCTCATAATCAAGTAAAAATCAACCCTTACCTTGGATGTAGATCCTCTAGGGTTCTCTCTTCTTCCCTTATCTTTTCTCCTCTTTTCCTTTTTCTTCTCTTCTCTTGTCTTGATAACTTCTCTCTTTAGATCTATTTTCTATTTATTTTACAAAACACATACTAACTATTATTTTACACTAATGGGCTTATTTCACACACTCACACTTATGTAACACATAAGAGCCAATTATTCATTTGTTATTCTCACACCCAATGACCCAATACACATATAACACATATATTCACAAAATCACACAATTAATCAATTACTATATTATATAATAATTAATAAAAAATAACTAATAAATAAAAACCAGGGTGTTACATTTATCATCTTCAATATTGGATACAAAATTTATGCTTTTGTTCTTTTTCTCAGCCTTGTCACCAATAGTCAATTCAAATGTTTGAAGTGACTCAATAAGCTCATCAACCCTCATGTTGTTGATACCCTGAGCTTCTTCAATAGTTGTAACCTTCATGTCAAATCTCCTAGGTAAGGACCTAAGAATGTTTATGACCAGCTTTGCTTCTGACATCTTCTCTCCCAAGGCACTTGATGCACTAGCAATTTCAAGAATCTTCATCTGATATTCATGAATTGTCTCATCATCATTCATCTTCAAGTTATCAAATTTTGAAGTGAGAAGCTGAAGTCTTGAAATGTTTACTTTAGAGGTACCTTCATAAGTTGTCTTGAGAATTTCCCAAGTTTAAGTCTTGAAATCTTTGAAGTCTTGAAATCTTTACTTTAGAGGTACCTTCATAATTTGTCTTGAGAGTTTGCCAAGCATCCTTGACTACAGTATATGTATTAATCAGCTTGAACACATTTTTGTCAACTCCATTATATAGAGCACTCAAAGCCTTGGAATTTCCAATGGCTTCTTTATCATCATTTTTATTCCAATCCTCTTCAGATTTTATGGATTCTTTTCCATCTTTTTCCTTTACAACAGGATGTTCCCATCCTTTCAAAATAGCCTTCCATACTTTGCTGTCCATAGATTTCAAAAAGCTACCATTATAACCTTCTACTAGTCATAGTTTGAACCATCTAACATAGGTGGTTTATTGTTATATCCTCCTTCTTTCTCCATAGTGTCAGAAAGTATATCCCTGGATCTCACCCAATAAACAAAATATCAGAAGTCAAGACTGATGTCTCAATAACACAATATCACGACAGATGTTATAACATATATTGACAGAAAATAGACTTGTTAAAACAGAAAGATCGTGCAGAAAAGTAAATTGCAGAAACTTAAAGAGCATAATCAATTGTTAACCAAGTTTGGTGCAAACTCACCTACTATGGGGCTACCAGTCAGGAAGGAAATCCACAATTAGTAGTATCAATTTGAAGCTAAACAGTCTCAGTTTACACTTTTCACTTAATCCCTATCCAGTGCAACTTCTACCTAGGCAATTCCTAGATATGAAAACTCCTCTCACTCTTAATCACCGCAGTGATATCAAATAATCTCAATCCCAGAGAATGTCTCAAGAAATCAAAAAGGTAGAACACTCTTCCAACATAAAAAATACTTAGTTTTCTTAAAAGCTTCATTAAGAACAATACTCAACTTTTTGCTTAAAAGTTTAGAAGAAAACAATAACTTGATAAACAAGTAACAATCATTCAACTCAAATGCATCAAAAGATACATGATGACGTACAAAACACACACGGAGAATCTAAGGAACTATCAAACTGTAAATCCTTATTTTTCACAAAGTTTTACAATACAACTATGCTACTTAAAAACTAGGTCTTGGACGACTCTTTATATAGACTTCTGAAGTTGGGTTTGTGTCGTAACCGACAAAAAATAAGAGAGTCGCGACCACTACTTATTTGTCCTAAGGACGGGAAAGGAACGGAAAAACCCTAATTATTTAGATATTAATAGGTTCGCGAGTTAATTAGATAGAGAGAATGTGTTATATACTCTTTATCTCTCTTGTACTCAAGGAGATCACTTTTAACTCTAGGACTTATGCAGGTATTTCTTTATTTAATCATATTATTATGCATAAAAACAATAAATAATTTAATTTTTTTAACTAGTGAACTTGCATTGGTTTTTAAATCGTATGTCTATATACCATCTTGTAAAGAAATCAGAGTCTTTCGTAGGTGTTCGGTTAAAAGTGAATCCTAATTAATTAAATAATAGAAGTGGTGTTGTTACACTTCCTTACCTGATGCAAAAGTCTTTCACCATTTTAAAAAAGAAAAGCAAAGCTATAACTTAGACAATTCAAACGTTTTCACTCTCCTACCATTATTTGACACATCACAATGCTTTTAAAAAACAAACAATTAAAAGGCTAAATGAAGGATGAGAGAGACAAAACCAAACCACACAACACAGACCCATTCTTCTTTCTCGTATGATTTTCACTCTTTTCTCCTCTCAAACAAAAGCCACAAGAAGCTCAAACAATATATTCAATTCTTTATGCCAACAATCATATAATCAACCGATCAGAGTAAGGATAAGAAATACCTGGGCAGAATGATGGATCTGAAACTGAGGGAGGTCGTGGCAGTTGCAGTTGAGTCACCGTTTGCGGCGGCTGAATCCCGTCGGGTGGAGGTCACGGACTTCCGTTGCGCGATGTGGCGGTGATTGTCATCGGTGTTGTTCCGGAGGAGAGCGCGCGTGGATGGTCGGGGCGTGGGACGTCATGTTCTGATGGCGGGTCGATGACGGAGCGCGGCCGCTGGGGGCTGATGTCGCGTGTGCGTCAGATTCAGATGGAAGAAGATTCTGCGAATACATTGTCGGAGCGGAAACAGTCGGCAGTTGATGAGTCAGTGTATTTCTGGTTGGAGAACTCGCGGCAGCTTCACGGGCAGGGGGATGGTGCGCCGAGCAGGGTGACGTCGATTCAATCATTCCGATGCAATGGATTGAATCACCTCATACTTGTTGACACAGATCAATAACCTGCAATGAAATCGAAATGCAGACAAAACGAAACCGCACCCAAATGGAAGCAACGACTTCACGAGTTTGAAACTTCACTGTTATTTTTTTTTTATATGCTTTGTTATTGTATGGTTTGTGTTTGAAGAAAGTGTTATGTTAGGAGTACTTGTGACGTTTCATGAAGAACTTACTCCAACAATCAACTTGAACAAAGATTAGTGTATACAAAAACAATTTTGGTTCTTGGTTGAAAAAAGTTTGAATAAATATTAAGATTTCAAAAAGATTTTCTAAATGGTTAAAAAGCAATTGTGTGTAGTAAGTACTGTGAATTTTTTTACATGAAAATGATATCTTTGACTCAAGATTTTAACTAACAAAGAATATGGGGTTTTCTATGGTTAAAAATTTGTGTAAATTGTGTGGCCTTTTTTTGCAAGTGACAAGCATGTACGAGGGTTCTCAGTTGTATATATAATGGTTTTTGTGGTGAGAAACAAAAGGTTGTAGACTTAGTGAAAAGGCGTGGTTTCCGTACGTGATGAAGAAGGGCTATTTACACATGACGGTTAGTCTCGGAAAAAAGGTTTCAGATCGAATGTGTATGAACAGTGTATATAGATTGTGTCAGACACACAACGTATTCAGAAAGGATGAATATATATCTTTTTAAAAATTATCAAATAAAATTTGATTTTGAAAAGATTATTTTATCAAAGTATGGAAATTTTTTCAAAATATTGTCTATACGAATGTTTATTGGAAAGTTCAGATATGCAAATCGTAAAATAAAAATAATATGGAATACGAATGATAAGATGAATTAATAACTTTGAATTATTTTGTAACTTATTTATCGTTCAATGAAACTTACTTGCAAGATTATTTCTAATGACAATATTAAAAGAACTAGTTGAATCAATTTATCAAACAATTGGTTTGCAAGTGAATTTTTAGAATTTTTTCTTTGGTTGTGTTGATACACAAAACCACTTATAATCAAAAGTGATTATAAGTTATATCAAAACTAGATTTAAAATCAAAAACCGATTCGGAAAATACTTATAATTCAATTGATAACACAATGCTATTCGATAAATTGATCAATGAAAATCAAAGCAACTAAAAACAAAAATAAAAGAGACACAAGAAATCTGTCTTCACAGTTCCTCACCGTCATCCTCGCGTGTGGGTATGTCTGCGCCTATTTCCAAGGGAATTAGGATAATTCTTACTACGCAAAATTGTTGATACAAGATAAATGCTTAAGAGTAACTCCACAAACCCTAAGGTTATTGTTGATTGAACCCCTTCTCCTCTTTTGATCTTGAGCAAAACCAAGAAACAATAGATGCAACCTATTCGCCACTTAAGCTACTTCCTTGCAAATATTTCAAGCACTCCAAGGGATTTCACTCGTGTAAATCCGACTGCACTCTATCAATACAAGATCTTTGATTCTATCTTCCAATACTTGTGTAATACGGTGGGAGAACTGACTTGGGATGTTTTGTGTTTTATCGCAATTGTTGCAGTTAGCAAGAGTCACCACCGACTTTTCTTTTATCCAAAAGGAAAGGTGGAAAAGAACTGGAAAGACCTTTGAGATTATTTCTTGAGTTCGGGGGGTAGATTATGAAAAGGGAAGGTATTCACACCCTTTTCATCCATATTTATCTATGGGCTCTTAGTTGCTTGCTAGATCACTTGCTTTTGTTTGAAAATGTGCTTTGTGGTGGTTTTGAAAGTATTTTTGAAAAGGCGCATTCGTTTAGGCAAACTTTGTAATAGTTCTCATTCGTAAGAACGTATACAAAGTGTTGGACTTTTGATAATATTTCATGTTTGGAAAATATTTTGAAAGTGTTTGTTTTGAAAGTGTTTGGTGTTTGTTTTGAAAATAAGCAAGGATGTTTATTTTGAAAATGAGCAAGCAACTAGGAACAATCCACCTACTCAAAAGTCTTTGTTCAATTCTTCCTTTCCTTTGATATTGATATCTCACCATTGATTGGTAAGAAGCCTTATCTTTGAATATAAAGGGACGGGCGTGGGTTATCGACAGTCATGATAACAATGATGTGAGATATATTAGCATTTTTCTTGAGGGACTAAGATCATTTTGAAAGGCAATATTTGTAGCGTCATCGAGGGCTATGATCTTGTATTTTTGATTTGTTTTTGCTAAGACATCCCACATGCATAACATGGCCATTTTTGTAAGGCAACAAGTGGAATTACCCTAAGGGTGCAAGTGTGCAAGTGTGTTTGATTTACATGCATTATTTATCTTGAATTAGGGTTTACTAATTGTTGATTTTAATCTTGCCATACAAACCCTAATTACTAACCTTTATATAAAAGCGATAAATTGCGAAAAGTAAAATTACTACGCTATTACATCATTAAGGGAGGGGGTATACAAATTTACAAATGGGGATTGCAAGAAAATTAAACCTAATTATCTATTACAACCATATTGAATATTATACAAGAATTGAATAAATGTACAAGAAGATAAATGGAAAAGAAATTATTTTTGTTTGGTTTTTTTGTTAAGGGTTTAGTTTTGACCTAATTAAGAAAATGATTAGTTACAATTAGATAAACCTAAACTAATTAAGAAGAGAAATTAATTTTGAAGCATTTTTAGGTTTTTTTTTATGAAAAGGTTTTAAGTTTAATAAAAATAATATGAAAATTAATTAGCTAAAAGAAACTTAAATTCTAAGTTAATTTTAATTTAAAAGAAAAATAAAATAAACTTGAGTCTAATTATTATTTATTAAGAAAAAGAAATTAAATTTGTTAAGAAAATATTTTTGTCTTTTGTCTTTATAAAGAAAATAAATAAGTGTGAAAATAATAAATAAAAATATTTTTGGATTTTTAATAATAAAAATAAAAATAATAATAATAATAGTAATAAAAAAATAATAAAGAAAATTGAAATAAAATAAAATAAGAAAAGAAAATAAATTAAATTAAAAATGATAAGAAAAATGTTTGGGCCAGGTGTGTGAAAACAGGCAGAGGGTTAGGAGAAGCAAAAAATGGCAAGGCCCAGTATTGGAGGCCCATGCGCTAGCTTTTTGGAAAAAGAAAGAAAATGTGAAAAATAATGAAAAGTGGCAGCGCTGGGGCTTGAACCCACGCCCTAGACATGAAACGCGCGTTGTCTTGCTACTGGGGTGGCTGTACATCCGTTAACATAAGCAAAACAACAAATACATAACATAAATCAAGTCCTGAAAATGACTTCATCTTTAACCTCCAGCCATGGTTCCTGTAACTTGCTCATTTCTCAATAAAAATAAAAGATGTAAACATGGAAGTTGCTCCAATTTTCCATACGAATCCAACCATATAAATATCATAAGCTATAAATCAAAGATGAATGAGAATTTCTAAAAGTACCAAATTCTTACCTAACATTTTTTAGAGATTCGAACCTAAAATTCTCTAAGCTCAATCAATATAAATGAAATCTATGGACATGTACAGTTTCAGGGTAATGATATCTACATTTTATCTTCACAAATGCAAACTTAACAATGCCTAAATGAAAAGATAGCAGTTCAGAAAAGATACCTCAAAACTGGAAATCGTAAAATGCAAATGAGCTTGATTCAAGGTGCTGCAATGATCAGGTTAGCTTCCTCAAGTTCCTAGGAAGCTAATGCAACGCTTATCTTGAGCAATGGATGACTGGAATGGCCTGGAGAAGTCAAGGTGCAAGCTTCAGTTTTTGAAAATGGAGGATGATGAAGATGGAGTTACAGAAGTGTAGCAGGGTGTGGGATTGTTTATGTATGATGTTTAGAAGATTTAGGAACCAAAAGGCCAAGAAACGCACGAGTAGATTTGAAGATTGGGTTCAAAACCCAGAAATGATAAGTTTTGAGATGTTCTTGGTGATTCTCTACTTTAGGGTGTTTCAGGGCTTAAGCATTCGTCCTTTAGCTTGCAAATAGTGCATGTATTTATAGGCAAGAGGTGTCAAGTGTTACAACAACTCAGAATTTGAATTCTTAAGTTGTGGCAACGTTTCTTGTTTTTGAATAAATATGACAAACATCTTCCCAAGGCTTGTATCATGCTATCTAGGGTGGTTGCAAACTTTAAACATGTTATTCTAAATTTGTAGAGGAAGCTTGTACAGAAGGGACAACTTAGAGGCTCAATGCAAGTTGACTTTGTGATTAAAGTCACTTTTCAAGAATGGCAATGTTGCTTTCTTCCAAAAATGGATGAATCTTTTGGACAATGGCTCTAATGCTTGGATCATGGATCTAGAAATTGTGTAAAACATTAATTATGGAGTGACAAACAAGTTTGAGGCCTGCAAAGCAAAGATTATGCAGCCTAGCATGGATTTGGTTCATGTTCATCCTAAAAATCTGCCTTGTAAAACAAGAATGAAACCCTAACTTCTTGCCTTCGATTCTCCTTGCTCAAGTATGATCTTAATGAGTTCTTAGACATTTAGGAAATATTATAACATCCCCTACAACCTTCATGTTGGACATTTTTGAAAATTCAAATTGGAACTAGGTGAAAAATTGCCATGAAGTTAGGTCAAAATCCTGCCTAAACTAGGGCAAAATTTCACTAAGTCTTTAAGTTTCATGAGCATGTCTTCACAAAATCATAACTTGAAATCTAAGCATTTTTAGAAAAAGTTATGTCCTGCAATGTTTTAGATCTCATTGAGATCTACAACTTTCGTGTTGGAAGTTTCCTTGGAATCATCTTGCATCATGGTGTAAATTTGGCACAAAGTTATGAAAAAAAACATGAATTTTCAACACTTAGAAAAATTCCAAGTCTTGGAAATTTGGACTTTTCAAAATGAAATCTTGACTTTTTGATTTCTTGATGAACTTGTTTCATATTTTGACATGTCTTGATGAATTATAATCTTTGAAACTTGATTTTGACCAAAAAGTCAAAGTTTGACTTTTCAG